TTCTCCGCTACTGCGCATGTCCAAATTTACGTGCGGGGGTCAGAGCAGAGGGGGATTTCACACCTTTCCCCTCTCGCGGGTGTGAAAGAGAGCCCCCGCTGTGCAGCGTTTCTGAGTTGTCCCACTCTGCAGGCTGGATCTGAACACTTACGTTTTCACCCCCCTGGAACACAGTCTTCGTATGAACGGTTGGTAGCAACCGACATCCAACTATACCGTTTTACTGCCACATTGTCTCCGTGTAAACTCAGCCTAATACAGTCAAAGCTGCGCAGGTCACTTCCTCTTCACTGCTGCTGCTGCCCCTGATGCCAATCACCAATCAGTGGCACAGGATCCTCTCTTCCCTCTGCTCCAATCAGCTGCTGACTTTATGAAGCACAAAGATCAAAGTGTTTCCAAAGCTGCGGATCACGTCCCCTCCACAAACGAAGCTTCAGTTGTGCAGATGTATTTAATGGTGCAGTTCTGGAGACAGCCGACAGATGGCGCCGTGTGACTGTTTCAGTGTGAGCTCTCCTGCTGTGAGCTTTCTCTGTTTATTGTTAGAGCTGTTCATATAAAACACTGTTTTGTGGAAAATCATGACATACATCATAAATGCACTTGTATTAGTGACACTAAGATGCCCACGTGACAACCATGTGTTCACTTCAATTCTCTTTATTTACAAAACTTCAACAAGTCCCACTCACACACTAATGTCTAAGGTTTGGAAATGCTTTGGAAAAGGGAACTCCCAGGAAGCTGCAGGAGCTTATAGGCGGGGCCTGGTTTATCTTTTCTGCACCGTCTTCTCCTCGTGTTAAAAAGAATCAATAAATCATAAAGAATAAAACAATAGTTAGAACAAATAAAAAACACAAACCTCCACAAGAGTAAATAAAGACAAAGTAAATAAACTAAAATAAAAAGTCCTTGAGCAGATGAAGACTATAATGATGTATGACACATGTGTCGTGTGACATCACATGTGTCAATCAGAAGAATGTGATGGTGTGATATATTCACTTCTTCACTCGTCGACATCTACTGTCATTATCTGAACACTTCACATTCTTCCAACTGCATCTTTTTCTTTCATTTCCTCTTATTTATGGATTTATTTATTTTTAGTCCTTTCCATTGTTTTCCTAAGACGCTCCTTTCTCTCGAGTCGTGTTGTTATTATTAATATTATATAAATGTATTATTATTGTTCATTATAAATGATCCAAAATGCCCCATTTCTCCCTAAACTCGTCTCCTTCATTATTCTTCTTCTTTGTGGATCCATTTCCTGGACTTGTTGAAGTGCTTCCAGTTTGTGGTTTTGGGGATTGGTTTTTCTCCAGTTTGTGGTCATTAGTTTGAGAGCAGTGAGTGCCATGATCCAGAAGAGCTTTTCCTCTCTTCATTCTATGACTTCATGTTCCCAGTAATAATGTTTCTCCTCAAAGAAGTGGATCTTTCCTTTCCTTGCTTCATGTTTGTGTTGCCTTCAGTCCAATGGTCTTGGATGTTTGTACATGTGTAAAAACATGTGTTCAGCTTTAGACATTTACAGTCACTTTACTGCACTGCTACATGTCTCTGTCCTTAGTGCACGTGGAGATAGTCCTCATTTTAACACATTTATCAACATTCTTTTATGTCTGCACCTTTTTACTCTTACCACGTGTTTGCACCATGAGCCAAAGCAGATTCCTGGTTTGTCACTTCCTGTTACTTACAATAAAATAATAGTGAATGTGATTGTCTTTGTCGCTGCTCTTCCTCCAACATTCTCCAGGTTTTTGTTCTGTGGCTTTGCTCCTGCAGCCAAAGAGTCTGTGTCTGTTCTGTCACTGGTACCTTTGGTTCAGTCCAGTTGTGTCAATGGTTCTGTGTCTCACTGGTACCTTTGGTTCAGTCCAGTTGTGTCCATGGTTCTGTGTCTGTTCTGTCACTGGTACCTTTGGTTCAGTCCAGTTGTGTCCATGGTTCTGTGTCTGTTCTGTCACTGGTACCTTTGGTTCAGACCAGTTGTGTCCATGGTTCTGTGTCTGTTCTGTCACTGGTACCTTTGGTTCAGTCCAGTTGTGTCCATGGTTCTGTGTCTGTTCTGTCACTGGTACCTTTGGTTCAGTCCAGTTGTGTCCATGGTTCTGTGTCTGTTCTGTCACTGGTACCTTTGGTTCAGTCCAGTTGTGTCCATGGTTCTGTGTCTGTTCTGTCACTGGTACTGTTGGTTCGGACCAGTTGTGTCCATGGTTCTGTGTCTGTTCTGTCACTGGTACCTTTGGTTCAGTCCAGTTGTGTCCATGGTTCTGTGTCTCACTGGTACCTTTGGTTCAGTCCAGTTGTGTCCATGGTTCTGTGTCTGTTCTGTCACTGGTACCTTTGGTTCAGTCCAGTTGTGTCCATGGTTCTGTGTCTGTTCTGTCACTGGTACCTTTGGTTCAGACCAGTTGTGTCCATGGTTCTGTGTCTGTTCTGTCACTGGTACCTTTGGTTCAGTCCAGTTGTGTCCATGGTTCTGTGTCTGTTCTGTCACTGGTACCTTTGGTTCAGTCCAGTTGTGTCCATGGTTCTGTGTCTGTTCTGTCACTGGAACCTTTGGTTCAGACCAGTTGTGTCTATGGTTCTGTGTCTGTTCTGTCACTGGTACTGTTGGTTCGGACCAGTTGTGTCCATGGTTCTGTGTCTGTTCTGTCACTGGTACCTTTGGTTCAGTCCAGTTGTGTCCATGGTTCTGTGTCTGTTCTGTCACTTGGAGCTCAGGGCCGCAGATAACGTTCATATTTTTAAGAGTAGGCTCAAGACGCACCTTTTTAGAGCAGCTTTTGATTAGTATTTATTATCTATTATTGCTTTTTAGTACATCTATTTATGTTTTTAGACGGATTATATTTTTATTTATTTTTATTATTTACTATTTTTAATTATTTATTGTATCTACCCATTTTCTATTGTTATTATCAATATTAGGCAGCTGCCATTTTTCTTTTTATTTTCACATTTTATTGTTCTACTTTCTATTGTATTATTGTATTGTTTTAGTGTCCCCAGTGTTTCCTCTGGAGGAGCCCTCTGCACTGAGAGCTGGGGTCTGCTGTGGCTTCGGGGGACTGGCTCTTGGATCCGGTGGGGGTCTGGGGCCTCCTCTCTCCTCTGGGTCCTATGGGGTCTGAGTCCTGGGCCTGGTGGGGTCTGGGGCCCCTCTCTCCTCTGGGTCCTGTGTCGTTGCCTGTGGCTGCAGCCGGCTCTTTGCTCCTGGTGCAGATGGTTCCTTGGATGACGCTTCTTCAGCCGGTTACATCTGCTCCCAGCCCCATTTCTTTTTATTGTTTTACCTATTTTACCTGATTTGACTTTATACTTGTGTATATGTGTGTGTGTGTGTGTGTGTGTGTGTTTGTGTGTGTGTGGGTGTGTGTATTGTATATATAATTATAAATGTGGTTTTGGGGGGTCTGTGGGGAGGAGGGTTTAGGGCTGGGCATGTTGGATTGTTTTTAACTAAACTGTAAAGCACTTTGTGTTACACTTTTTGTATGAAAAGCGCTTTATAAATAAAATTTGATTGATTGATTGACTTGTACCATTGGTTCAGACCAGTTGTGTCCATGGTTCTGTGTCTGTTCTGTCACTGGTACCTTTGGTTCAGTCCAGTTGTGTACATGGTTCTGTGTCTGTTCTGTCACTGGTACCTTTGGTTCAGACCAGTTGTGTCTATGGTTCTGTGTCTGTTCTGTCACTGGTACCTTTGGTTCAGACCAGTTGTGTCCATGGTTCTGTGTCTGTTCTGTCACTGGTACCTTTGGTTCAGTCCAGTTGTGTCCATGGTTCTGTGTCTGTTCTGTCACTGGTTCCTTTGGTCCAGTCCAGTTGTGTCCATGGTTCTGTGTCTGTTCTGTCACTGGTACCTTTGGTTCAGACCAGTTGTGTCCATGGTTCTGTGTCTGTTCTGTCACTGGTACCTTTGGTTCAGACCAGTTGTGTCCATGGTTCTGTGTCTGTTCTGTCACTGGTACCTTTGGTTCAGTCCAGTTGTGTCCATGGTTCTGTGTCTGTTCTGTCACTGGTACATTTGGTTCAGACCAGTTGTGTCCATGGTTCTGTGTCTGTTCTGTCACTGGTACCTTTGGTTCAGACCAGTTGTGTCCATGGTTCTGTGTCTGTTCTGTCACTGGTACCTTTGGTTCAGACCGGTCGTGTCCATGGTTCTGTGTCTGTTCTGTCACTGGTACCTTTGGTTCAGACCAGTTGTGTCCATGGTTCTGTGTCTGTTCTGTCACTGGTACCTTTGGTTCAGAGCTCCCTCGGTCGCCGTGGAAACTGCAGACTGCTGTTTAAAGCTGGGGTACCTGACATTAGAACCACACACATTGAACTTTGTGACAAAATCCATCCAACAAGTTCCATTTATTAATATTTTATTATTTTTCTGATCATAAATGACAATGGTTACACACACACCCCCATGGTCTAGGTCTTGATGGTATCTCATGACATATAATTAGATGATTATATAAGAAGCCGCAGTAAACACACAGTATTATGTACACACAATAAAAGACACTAAATACAGATAATATAGAAACAGATAATATTGTTTTCACATCTGTGTATGATCCGTGTGTGAATGTGCCATACAAGTGTCGTTGATAAATGAGACTCATTCCATCCACAGCTTTTTCATTCTGAGCCCGAACAGAGAGAAATAAAACAACAGGATCAAAGCTGAACAGAAGGAGGCGTTTACACCCAGAGCATCATGGGAAATATTTACACTTCACTCATTTCTCCTGCTCCCTCTCCTCCTATCTCCTCTCCTGGTTCGTCTCCTCCTCTCTCCTCTCCTGGTCCGTCTCCTCCTCTCTCCTCTTCTGGTCCGTCTCTTCCTCTCTCCTCTCCTGGTCCGTCTCCTCCTCTCTCCTCTCCTGGTCCGTCTCCTCCTCTCTCCTCTCCTGGTCCGTCTCCTCCTCTTTCCTCTTCTGGTCCGTCTCCTCCTCTCTCCTCTTCTGGTCCCTCTCCTCCTATCTCCTCTCCTGGTCCGTCTCCTCCTCTCTCCTCTCCTGGTCCGTCTCCTCCTCTCTCCTCTTCTGGTCCGTCTCCTCCTCTCTCCTCTCCTGGTCCGTCCGCTCCCTCCTCTCTCCTCTTCTGGTCCGTCTCCTCCTCTCTCCTCTTCTGGTCCGTCTCCTCCTATCTCCTCTCCTGGTCCGTCTCCTCCTCTCTCCTCTCCTGGTCCGTCTCCTCCTCTTTCCTCTTCTGGTCCGTCTCCTCCTCTCTCCTCTTCTGGTCCCTCTCCTCCTATCTCCTCTCCTGGTCCGTCTCCTCCTCTCTCCTCTCCTGGTCCGTCTCCTCCTCTCTCCTCTTCTGGTCCGTCTCCTCCTCTCTCCTCTCCTGGTCCGTCTCCTCCTCTCTCCTCTTCTGGTCCGTCTCCTCCTCTCTCCTCTTCTGGTCCGTCTCCTCCTATCTCCTCTCCTGGTCCGTCTCCTCCTCTCTCCTCTCCTGGTCCGTCTCCTCCTCTTTCCTCTTCTGGTCCGTCTCCTCCTCTCTCCTCTTCTGGTCCCTCTCCTCCTATCTCCTCTCCTGGTCCGTCTCCTCCTCTCTCCTCTCCTGGTCCGTCTCCTCCCTCTCTCCTCTTCTGGTCCGTCTCCTCCTCTCTCCTCTCCTGGTCCGTCTCCTCCTCTCTCCTCTCCTGGTCCGTCTCCTCCTCTCTCCTCTTCTGGTCCCTCTCCTCCTATCTCCTCTCCTGGTCCGTCTCCTCCTCTCTCCTCTCCTGGTCCGTCTCCTCCTCTCTCCTCTTCTGGTCCGTCTCCTCCTCTCTCCTCTCCTGGTCCGTCTCCTCCTCTCTCCTCTTCTGGTCCGTCTCCTCCTCTCTCCTCTTCTGGTCCGTCTCCTCCTATCTCCTCTCCTGGTCCGTCTCCTCCTCTCTCCTCTCCTGGTCCGTCTCCTCCTCTCTCCTCTCCTGGTCCGTCTCCTCCTCTCTCCTCTTCTGTGATGACCTCATTCATCAGGATCATGGTCTCATGTGTCTCACTAGCGCCTCTTCTGGACTTAACCTGAAACAACAAGACATCCACAGGTCTTAACCAGGTCTGAACCAGGTCTGAACCAGGTCTGAAGCAGGTCTGAAGCAGGTCTGAGCCAGGTCTGAACCAGGTCTGAACCAGTCGCTGTAGCAGTAGCAGTAGCAGTAGTAACTTGAAGCGTCCCTTCTCAGGTCTGTCCTGTACATGTGTGTGTCTGGTGTACTGCAGAAGTCTGTCCTGTACATGTGTGTGTCTGGTGTACTGCAGAAGTCTGTCCTGTACATGTGTGTGTCTGGTGTACTGCAGAAGTCTGTCCTGTACATGTGTGTGTCTGGTGTACTGCAGAAGTCTGTCCTGTACATGTGTGTGTCTGGTGTACTGCAGAAGTCTGTCCTGTACATGTGTGTGTCTGGTGTACTGCAGAAGTCTGTCCTGTACATGTGTGTGGCAAACAAAATGAAACAATGGATAAAACAAACAAAGAAGACGCAAATACACAAAAAAATCATTAATTGACCTGGTATCCACCCGGTATCCACCCGGTATCCACCTGGTATCCACCCGGTATCCACCCGGTATCCACCCGGTATCCACCTGGTATCCACCTGGTATCCACCTGGTATCCATCCGGTATCCACCCGGTATCCACCTGGTATCCATCTGGTATCCACCTGGTATCCACCTGGTATCCACCTGGTAGATTTGACGAAGGAAAACTGGACCACCTTTTTTGACTTCCTGTGAGCGTGTTTCTTGACTTCTGTAGGATGAGAATCCAAACCGTTGTTGCTGCTGTTCCATCTACCAGACCAGGACTCTCAGACTGTGATTCTAGTGCCCCCTAGCGGCAACAAAGGACTACACACATTCCAAACTTAAGTGTGCTGTATATGCAACTAAATTGTAAACCCGCATCTCTGTTGTCATTCATCTTTATTGAATTGTGAGTCACGATGTCTGTTGAAGTGTTTGTGCTTTAAACAATTGTGTTTAATATGTCTCATGCCCAGAAGTTCCTGTGTTGTGAAAAGCCGGAAACAGGAAGTGACTACAACGTACCCGCCCCTAAGACTGGAGACAAAACCAGTCTGAATGCAGAGCGCGCCCTCTTGAATTTTTGGCCTTCTTGCTCTCCTCGGCTTTTCGTCTCTCCTGGGTTTCGGCCCTCACGTCGTCTCTCCTGGGTTTCGGCCCTCACGTCGTCTCTCCTGGGTTTCGGCCCTCACGTCGTCTCTCCTGGGTTTCGGCCCTCACGTCGTCTCTCCTGGGTTTCGGTCCTCACGTTCTGTGCCCGCGGCTGGATCCGTGCGTATGAGCTCAAACAGGCTCGTTTCAACTCTCTGAACTTGCTCAATCAACTGCTTTCTCCCCCGCACAACAACAAGCGGGAAGGGACGCGACGCTACACAGCCGTATACTAGGAGACAACAACAAAGGAACTTTTCTGGGATCAAAGCCGGACCACGTGTCCACCAACAAAGAAACTTTACTAAAAGCAACCTTCACACAGTAAGAAGTGTCTGCTTTTGGGTTATTGTGCACATTCTTTGAATTGTGACTCACACAGTTTCTTATGCTCTGAGGTTTTTCGTTTGGTAAATAAACAGCTAAATCTCTATCAGCCTCCAGTGTTATTAGTTAGTAGTTTGGAAGATGGGCTCTCTGGCAAATAGAACTCACACTTTTAGATATTTATGAGATTGATTTTAAAACCCCGCTTGATTCTTTTAGTTGGGTCTTGAGACTTTTCTTTCCCTCTCTTCAGATAGGGTAATTCTATATTAGTCAAAATTAGACCATTCTTAGAACAAGCACACCCTTTTAAAGGTAGATATAAGGGAATTTCCAATAAGGAATAGTTACTACCGTGCAGATATGTTAAGATATGTAGTGTATCCAAATACCTGTACATCTAAGACATATATGCATTTAGTTACCCTACACCACTATCACTCTGCTCTCTGTTTGCACTAACAAACACATTACAAATCCACGTAGTGTACACCAAGCTAACTGTGTAAGCACTCTGAGTCAGCTGTACTGCAGCTGAGGTTTAGGTAGCGGTTGTTTGTCTGGTCTCGGAGTCTGTTGTGCGGGGCCCGGAGCCGGACTAGCTTAGCCTAGCCTAGCCGCTAACTCGCTACTCCTATGGCGGCTACTGTCTCTCCCTCAGTCCTTTACTGCTCGAGTTGCCATATGGCGAGTCTTAACCCTGGATCCTTCTCTGAGGGTAGTGATAGATGTGTGAAGTGTAGTGTAGTCGTAGCTCTGGAATCCAGGGTCAGTGAGTTAGAGCTGCGTCTCCGAGCACTGGAGTCTCGAGCTAGCGCTAGCATTAGCTACAGCCAGGCCGTATCCTCAGGGACAGCGGAGCGCAGCTTTAGGGAAAGGCAGAGGAGAACTAGCGAGCCTAGCCTCCCAGCCCGTCCTCCGCAGCTGGGACAAGACCAGGATAGTGATGGCTTTGTGACTGTTCGGAGAGGGCGACGTGTTGTTGGTAGTTTCCCCATTGGGCCTCCTCCCGTTAGCATTTACAATCGCTGGGACGCTCTGTCCGGCTGCGCACAGGGACTGGACTCCTGTTAGTGCCCGGAGTCAGAACTAAACATGGAGAGGCTGCTTTTCAGATTCATGCTGCTAAAATCTGGAACAATCTTCCTGAAGATGTGAGACAGGCCTCCTCTCTGACAATGTTTAAAACCAGGTTAAAGACAGTTCTGTTCAGCTGTACATACAACTGAGGGATTATATATTTTATATTTTTATATTGCTTTTCCAACGAGCTCGTTGTAACTGTCATAAGTCACAATCTCCGGGCACAGCGAAGGCACGTGCCCAAGCACTGATAAATCCGTGCCGGAGGCACTAATGGCTTTGCTCCTGCTGTAGTACACAGTGAAATGATTGAGGTCCTATTAAAGGGGGGTTCTTTCAAATGTCTTACGGACGAATGTAAACTGAACGTGTAAATCATGGAAATGTAGCATCAGCGCCCCCTACAGAGTGATACAAGTGTTACATGGAGAGACTGGGATTTACCTTTTCAAAGACACACACAATCACTGATCGTAAGAATTCAAAATGCACAGTGTCGCTCCCATCAGGGCGGTAGGAAAATGGCGCGACAGCGCCACCTCGGTTGCGTTGTGCGGCGAGGGCCGTTCGACGCCGCTTGCGGCTTTAATTAGGCCCGAGCCCCAACTGGGGTAAGGGCCTATTGCTTTTCCAATGAGTAATGCCTGGGCAGTGCGGCGAGGGCCGTTAGATGCCGCTTGCGGCTTTAATTATCTTTCTTTTTAATGTTCTGTGATTATTTATGATTTTAATGCTTTCTTATTTTTGTTCAGCACTTTGAGTTGCCTTGTGTATGAATTGTGTTATACAAATAAACTTGCCTTGCCTTGCCTTGTCTATATATATATATATATATAGAGTACCTTGCAAAAGTATTGAACCTTGAACCTTTCAACATTTCGCCACATTTCAGGCTTCAAACATAAAGATATGAAAATTTTATTTTTTGTCATGACTCAACAACAAGTGGGACACAATCGTGAAGTGGAACGAAATTTGTTGGATAATTCAAACTTTTTTAACAAATAAAAAACTGAAAAGTGGGGCGTGCAATATTATTCGGCCCCTTTACTTTCAGTGCAGCAAACTCAGTCCAGAAGTTCAGTGAGGATCTTTGAATGATCCAATGTTGTCCTAAATGACTGATGATGATAAATAGAATGCACCTGTGTGTAATCAAGTCTCCGTATAAATGCACCTGCTCTTTGATAGTCTCAGGGTTCTGTTTAAAGCGCAGAGAGAACCATGAAGACAAAGGAACACACCAGGCAGGTCCGAGATACTGTTGTGGAGAAGTTTAAAGCCGGATTTGGATACAAAAAGATTTCCCAAGCTTTAAACATCTCAAGGAGCACTGTGCAAGCATCCATCCATCCATTTTCTTCCCCTTAATCCATTTCTGGGTCAGGGGGGTGGCAATCAGAGATGCCACCCAAGTCTCATAGCACCAGCCCCTCACTGACCCTCTGCAGGTGGTGAGTCCACAGGAGGACGGCTGCTCTGTCAGTGACAATACAGCCTTGATTTTTCAGCGGGGGCTTCAGGCAATGCAGGGTTAAGTGTCTTGCCCAAGGACACAACGACAGCAGTCATCAGTGGGAGTCGATGGAGAAGATCCCGTGGTGGGCTTGAACCCACGACCTTCAGGCTCAAAGGCCAGTGCTCTACCAACTGAGCTACTGCCGCCCTCAAGGGGCCGAATACTTTCGCAAGGCACTATATATATATATATATATATATATATATATATATATATATATATATATATATATATATATATATATATATTTTTTTAAGTAGTAGTAGTACCTTGTAATAGCAGTAGTAGCAGTAGTGGTAGTAGTAGCAGCATTAGCAGCAGCAAAAGTAGTAGCAGTAACAGTAGTAGCAGTAATAGCAGTAGTAGTAGTAGTAGTAGTATTAATACCTTGTAGTAACAGTAGCACTGTGGCAGGGTGAACAGGAGGATTATCAGTAGAATAATCAGGAATCTGATGATCAGGTCAGACGTTAAAACTGCAAAAACAGAGAAAACAGGTTTGATCAAGTACAAGTACAAGTTCAAGTACAAGTACAAGTACTTCAAAACAACCTGGATTCACAAAGAAAACATCACTTCACTAGTATCACAGAGAACGATGAAACACAGATGTTTTATCCCAAAACAGTTCCTGAGTTTACTTTTAGTGGAAGCCAATAGGAGCCAGAGAGAGTTGGAGCAAAACTTCCTCTCTGAGCACTTCCCTATCGTGCTCATAGACTGTATATATTAACGGACAGAGTCCAAAAATGGTGAAAAAACACATCTGCGCATGCGTCAGCCGGCGCAGCTCCATTCATTTGAACGAGAGACTTCAAAAATTCACAGCAACTAAACTAGAGTGGACCAAAACACCCCCCTCAGCATTGATACGGCCAAGAGCCAACTTTGGTCCATCCTGTAAAGACGTTTTTGAGAGGTCTGCCAATGCTATATGTTAGCATTGGCTAATTCTACTTCTGGGTCCACCCCCACAGGCCCGGGGTGGTACTGCAGCATGTCAGCGCACGTCATTTTGGCCACTTTTGAGCCAGGACCCTCCCCCACTGATCGTGCTTCATTTAGCTAGCAGGTTAGCATTGTAATCATAATCACAGAGACATAGATCACCCAGTATGTGACATCACACACTCTGTCTCCAGTATGTGACATCACACACTCTGTCTCCAGTATGTGACATCATGTGACATCACACACTCTGTCTCCAGTATGTGACATCACACACTCTGTCTCCAGTATGTGACATCACACACTCTGTCTCCAGTATGTGACATCATGTGACATCACACTCTCTGTCTCCAGTATGTGACATCATGTGACATCACACTCTGTCTCCAGTATGTGACATCATGTGACATCACACTCTCTGTCTCCAGTATGTGACATCACACACTCTGTCTCCAGTATGTGACATCATGTGACATCACACTCTCTGTCTCCAGTATGTGACATCACACACTCTGTCTCCAGTATGTGACATCACACACTCTGTCTCCAGTATGTGACATCACACACTCTGTCTCCAGTATGTGACATCATGTGACATCACACACTCTGTCTGCAGTATGTGACATCACACACTCTGTCTGCAGTATGTGACATCACACACTCTGTCTGCAGTATGTGACATCACACACTCTGTCTCCAGTATGTGACATCACACACTCTGTCTGCAGTATGTGACATCACAAACTCTGTCTCCAGTATGTGACATCACACACTCTGTCTGCAGCAAAAGTCAAAGAAAAGGAGAAAGCAGTTTCCTCTTTGTTTCATGAAGCTTGAGAACTTGAGCAGTAGTAGCAGTGCCAGAAGTATTAGTAGTAATAGTAGTAGTACTAGTAGCAGCAGTAGCAGCAGCAGCAGAAGTAGCAGCAGCAGTTGTAGCAGCAGTATTAGCAGTAGTAGTGGTAGTAGTAGCAATAGCAGTAGTAGTAGTAGCAGCAGCAGTAGTAGCAGTAGTAGCCATAGCAGTAGCAGCAGCAGTAGGAGCAGCAGTATCAGCAGTAGCAGCAGTAGCAGTAGCAGTATCTCGTACCTCCCAGCCTCAGCTCCAGTCTCTCGCTCTTGGAGGTGAAGCTGTGGTTGAACACCTGTAGGTGGTAAACACAGGTGTAGTCTCCTTTGTGGGCGGGGCCAGTGTGATTGAACAGGAAGTGTGCAGAGTGATTGACAGCAGGCAGGGTGTGGTTCCCAGAGGGAGAGAGCAGCTGGAAGGAGCCTCCTGGGAACTGAGGCTTCACCGAGCACTGGACCGAGAACTGAGACCCCAACTGCACACGCACCACCTGCACCCCGACCTGGGAGTCCTGGACCTGGGAGTCCTGGACCTGGGAGTCCTGGACCTGGGAGTCCTGGGAGTCCTGGACCTGGGAGACCTGGACCTGGGAGTCCTGGACCTGGGAGTCCTGGACCTGGGAGGCCCCCACAGTCACAGAGAGGGACAGGACTGGACGGTTCAGTAAGTCTGCAGAGACAGAGACATCAGCTACAGCAGAGATTTAAGTTAGACTTTGACTTTTACCTGAACACATCACCTCCGCACCAGACGAGGAGTAGGAGGAGTAAGTGTCGTCATAAACACATTCTCTCACTTTAGTCTTCCTCCTCTTCATGCAGTCAGATGAGATCATCCACACAAGACTGACTGGAAAACCACCTCTCTGACGTCCAGAAACAGCAGACCCACAGTCCAGGTCTCTGCACACAGCAGCTGAGTCCTCCTCGGTCCAGTCTCCTCCTCTCTTCACCACTCGTCTCCACTCTCCTCTGTGTCTGAGCTCCACTGTCCCGGCGCAGCGACTGGCCCCTCCCACCAGCCTGAGCGGCTCTGAGCAACACAACAACTCTTAGGACACACAAACATCACACACACACAGACATGCATACACACTCAAACACGTAAACACACAGAGACATACACACCCAAATACACACACACACACACAGATATACACAAACACACACGCACACACACACACACAAACACATAAACAAACACGGGCCCACACAAAAATAAACACACAAACACGCACACACACACGCACACAGGCACACACATATAAACACACAGGCACACACACACACAAACACGCACACACACACATACACACAGACACACACACTCTGGTCTCTGTACAGTGAGGTCAGTCCTGTCTCTGTCTTCGTCTGCTGCTCACTGAGACACACTGTCACATCCAACAAAACATGTGTGTGTGTGTCTGTGTGTGTGTGTGTGTGTGTGTGTGTCTGTGTGTGTGTGTGTGTGTGTGTGTGTGTGTGTGTGTGTGTGTGTGTGTGTGTGTGTGTGTGTGTGTGTCTGCGTGTGTGTGTCTGTGTGTGTGTGTGTGTCTGTGTGTGTGTGTGTGTGTGTGTGTGTCTGTGTGTGTGTGTGTGTGTGTGTGTCTGTGTGTGTGTCTGTGTGTGTGTGTGTGTGTGTGTGTGTCTGTGTGTGTGTGTGTGTGTGTCTGCGTGTGTGTGTCTGCGTGTCTGTGTCTGTGTCTGTGTCTGTGTCTGTGTGTGTGTGTGTGTCTGTCTCATCCAATGAAACACATGTAAATATGAATAAAAGCTGAAAGCATCAGTCAGTTAATCAGTTAACGCAGGTTAATTAAATGTTTTTCACCAACACTTTCAGAAACTGAAAAGAGTCGTTCCAAACTTTAGACACAATGATCTTCATAAAATGCAGATGTGAAGGAAATAATATCAGACAATTATTACATTTGTTTTGATGTTATGAAAAAGAAAATCATTTGTTACATTTTCATCTGATTTATAAAAATAATGTGATCAGAGTTATTTTAAATGTGTGTTGAAGTTTTTAATGTCTTTGATGTTGGCTCCTGCTTAATGAACTATAACATACTTTATACTGACACAGATGTAAAAGAATCCATAATAACCACATCTGTGACTCTGGGACCAGAACAATGGAGCAAAACAAGGCTGTCCATTTTCAACATGTCTTTTTTAATCATCTCCATAAAAGTAAGATCCAGTGAAACAGAGAAGGATCTATGACATTTATCAACTTTTATTTTTCTCTGCTCCTTATGGACCAATGGCTCCATGTGTTTTATCACTGCTTTTCTTGTGTTTGAACTAATAATAATAATAATAATAATAATGATAATGATAATAATAATAATAATAATAAATAATAATGATAATAATAATAATAATGATAATAATAATAATGATAATAATAATGATAATAATGATAATAATAATAATGATAAAAATAATAATAATAATGATAATAATAATGATAATAATGATAATAATAATAAAAAATAATAATAACGATAATAATAATAATAATAATGATAATAATGATAATAATAATAATAATAATAATGATAATAATGATAATAATAATGATGATAATAATGATGATAATAATGATAATAATGATAATAACATTAATAACTGACAGTAGCTCAGTTGGTAGAGCATTGGCCTTTGGGCCTGGAGGTCGTGAGTTCGAATCCCACCATGGGACCTACTCCAACTGCTCCCACTGATGACTGCTGTCGTTGTGTCCTTGGGCAAGACACTTAACCCCACGTTGCCTGAAGCCCCCGCTGAAAGATCAAGGCTGTTTCACAACTGATGGAGCAGCCATCTTCCTGTGGACTCACCCCCTGCAGAAGATCAGCGAGGGACTGGTGCTATGAGCATTGGGTGGCAGCTCTCATTGCCACCCCCCCGACCCAGAAATTGACTCATAAAGGGGTTGAAAATGAAATGAAATGATAATAATGATAATAATAATAATACGCAAATAGACCAGTGACGTCGCCCGGCATGGCGCAGCCGGGGCCCCACCCTGGAGCCAGGCCTGGGGTCGGGGCTCGTATGCGAACGCCTGGTGGCCGGGCCTTAGCCCACGGGGCCCGCCCGGGCTCAGCCCGAAGGGATGACATGGGCAGTCCCTCCTGTGGACCCACCACCTGCAGAGGGGTCCGTGGTGGCGCGGTGCTGAGAGGACTGGGCGGCAGTCGAAGGCGGAGACCTCGGCGACCCAGTCCGCACACACAACATCTGGCTCTTGGGACGTGGAACGTCACCTCACTGGGGGGGAAGGAGCCCGACCTCGTGAGGGAGGTTGAGCGATACCGACTAGAGATAGCTGGCCTCACCTCCACACACAGCTTGGGCTCTGGAACCCAACTCCTTGAGAGGGGTTGGACGCTCCACTTTTCTGGTGTTTCCCGCGGGGAGAGGCGGCAAACTGGGGTGGCCATTCTCATTGCCCCCATCTCAGCCGCCGCGTGTTGGAGTTCTCCCCGGTGAATGAGAGGGTCGCGTCCCTCCGCCTCCGGGTGGGGGACAAGTCTCTCATTGTTGTGACGGCCTACGGGCCTAACAGCAGTGCAGAGTACCCGGCCTTCTTGGAGTCCTTGGGAGGGGTACTGGACGGTGCACCGCCCGGGGACTCCGTTATTCTCCTGGGGGACTTCAACGCCCATGTGGGAAATGCCAGCGACACTTGGAGAGGGGTGATCGGGAAGAACGGCCCCCCTGATCTGAACCCGAGCGGTGTTCAGTTGTTGGACTTCTGTGCCAGTCACAGTTTGTCCATCACGAACACCATGTTTGAGCACAAGGGTGTCCATCAGTGCACGTGGCATCAGGACACCCTAGGCCGGAGGTCGATGATCGACTTTTTTGTCGTATCATCTGACCTTCGACTGCGTGTCTCGGACACTCGGGTAAAGAGAGGGGCGGAGCTGTCAACCGATCATCACCTGGTTGTGAGTTGGATCCGCTGGCAGGGGAAGAAGCCGGTCAGACCTGGCAGACCCAGGCGTATAGTGAGGGTCTGCTGGGAACGTCTCGCTGAGCCCCCTGTCAGACGGACTTTGAACTCACACCTCCGGGAGGGCTTCTCCCAGGTCCCGGCGGAGAAGGGGGACATGGAGTCCGAGTGGGCCATGTTCTCTTCCTCAATCGCCGATACGGCGACTCGTAGCTGTGGTCACAAGGTCTCTGGTGCTGGTCTAAGCAGAGACGCCCAGACTTCCCTATCCACACACACTTCCTCCAGCTCGTCCGGGGGGACCCCAAGGCGTTCTCAGGCCAGCTGAGAGACATAGTCCCTCCAGCGTGTCCTAGGTCTTCCCCGGGGCCTCCTCCCGGTGGGACGTGCCCGGAACACCTCCCCAGGGAGGCGTCCAGGAGGCATCCGGAACAGATGCCCGAGCCACCTCAACTGGTTCCTGTCGACGTGGAGAAGCAGCGGCTATACTCCGAGCTCCTCCCGTGTGACTGAGCTCCTCACCCTATCTCTAAGGGAGCGCCCAGCCACTCTGCGGAGGAAGCTCATTTCGACCGCTTGTATCCGCGGTCTCGTTCTTTCGGTCATTACCCAAAGCTCATGACCATAGGTGAGGGAGGGAACGAAGATTGACCGGTAAATCGGAAGCTTTGCCTTTCGGCTCTGCTCCCTCTTTACCACAACGGTCCGATACAGCGACCGCATCACTGCGCACGCTGCACCGATCCGCCTGTCAATCTCACACTCCATTCTTCCCTCACTCGTGAACAAGACCCCGAGATACTTGAACTCCTCCACTTGGGGAAGGACCTCTCCACCCACCTGTAGAGGGCAAGGCACCTTTTTCCGGTCGAGCACCATGGCCTCGGATTTGGAGGTGCTGATTCTCATCCCAGCCGCTTCACACTCGGCTGCAAACCGCCCCAGTGCATGCTGCAGGTCCTGGTTCGTTGGAGCCAACAGGACAACATCGTCCGCAAACAGCAGAGATGAAATCATGTGGACTCCGAACCGGACCCCCTCCGACCCCTGGCTGCGCCTAGAAATTCTGTCCATAAACGCAGTGAACAGAACCGGTGACAAAGGGCAGCCCTGTCGGAGGCCAACATTCACCGGGAACAGGTCTGACTTACTGCCGTCAATGCGAACACAGCTCTGGCTCCGGTCATACAGGGATCGGATGGCCCTCAGCAGAGGACCTCCGACCCCGTACTCCCGGAGAACCCCCCAAAGGACACCCCGGGGAACACAGTCGAACGCCTTCTTCAAATCCACAAAGCACATGTGGACAGGTTGGGCGAACTCCCATGAACCCTCGAGTATCCGATGGAGAGTATAGAGCTGGTCCAGTGTTCCGCGACCGGGACGAAAACCACACTGCTCCTCCTGAATCCGAGATTCGACCATCGGCCGTAGCCTCCTCTCCAGTACCTTGGAGTAGACCTTACTGGGGAGGCTGAGGAGTGTGATCCCACGATAATTGGAACGCACCCTCCGGTCCCCCTTCTTGTAGACAGGGACCACCACCCCGGTCTGCCACTCCATTGGCACCGCCCCCGATCGCCACGCGATGTTGCAGAGACGTGTCAGCCAAGACAGTCCTACAACATCCAGAGACTTTAGATAATCGGGGACGGATCTCATCCACACCCGGAGCCTTGCCACCATGGAGGCTGCCAACCACCTTGGTGACCTCAGCCAGGGAGATGGACGTATCCGCCCCAACATCCTCAGCCTCTGCCTCTGTAACAGAGGACGTGACGGGGGGATTGAGGAGAACCTCAAAGTATTCCTTCCACCGCCCGACAATATCCCCAGTCGAGGTCAGCAGCTCTCCACCCGCACCATACACGGTGTTGGCAAAGAACTGCTTCCCCCTCCTGAGGCGCCGGACAGTTTGCCAGAATCTCTTCGAGGCCGACCGATAGTCATGCTCCATGGAATCTCCAAACTCCTCCCAGTCCCGGGTTTTTGCCTCTGCAACAGCCCGGGCACGCTTGGCCAGCCGATACTGGACAGCTGCCTCAGGAGTCCCCCGAACCATCATGGCTCAATAGGACTCCTTCTTCAGCCTGACAGCATCCCTAGATAGAGGAAGAGAACATGGTCCACTCAGACTCCATGTCCCCCTCCTCCGACGGGACCTGGGAGAAGCTCTCCCAGAGGTGTGAGTTGAAAGTCCGTCTAACAGGGGGCTCAGCGAGACGTTCCCAGCAGACCATCACTACACGCTTGGGTCTGCCAGGTCTGACCAGCTTCCTCCCCTGCCAGCGGATCCAACTCAAGACCAGGTGGTGATCGGTTGACAGCTCCGCCCCTCTCTTTACCCGAGTGTCCGAGACACGCGGCCGAAGGTCAGATGATACAACAACAAAGTCGATCATCGACCTCCGGCCTAGGGTGTCCTGGAGCCATAATAGAATATATTCATCAACCATATTGTTATTAGAATATATTCATCAACCATATTGTTAACAAGGACATTTATTAGAATATTCTCAGAGAATTAAAAACTAATATAAATATCAGTTCTCACAGGTGTGTACCTGATTATCTGGGGTCTTGGGGAATAAATGGAAACTAATAATTAATAATGACAAATACTTGTTTAGACTTTAAGACTTCACTGAACAGAAGTTTGTCACACCTCACAGACTCACAAACCAGATTCTTTACAATCAAAATTCTAAATAATGTTATCCACAAAAAGATGCTCAAGATTTGGGGTCTGCAGGAATCAGACTCGACTGCGGCTTCTGCCAAACAGATGTTGAATCATCTGAGACTGATTCTGGTTCTGTCCTGTGGGGGCAGCATTTTGGGTTAATATGTATAAAATAATACAAATATAGACATTTAAACTGAATATTAAGTCATGTCTTTTGTCAATATCATTAGGGTTCTTTGGAGACTTATAACATAAAGAAACTGTTTCACAAGGTGAAGATTCTTGATGCCTTCTCTTTGGAAAAAAGTCTGATTATTATTCTTCTTATTTGTTTTCTCTCCTTGCTTTAGGATGTTGTTATGCTTTCATGGATTGATTGATTTACATTGTCCTAAAGCCCGGCCCACCTTAGCCCCGCCCCTCACCTGAGCAGATGGCGTCCTCACTGGGTCCAGAGGGACAGGTCTTGGGTCTGGAGCGGGGACAGTCCATCAGAGAAGACTCATGGCCCTCACAGTGGAACGTCTGCCCCAGAGGAGAGAGCTCCCCCTGGAGGACAGAAGAAGCATCGCAGCCCAGCTCCCTGCACAGCACCTCTGCTCCCCGCAGGTCCAAGGCCCCTTCACAGACCGAGATCCAGGACCGGTCCCAGATCTGCAGTGATCCAGAGCAGAGACCAGAGCCTCCAACCAGCCGCACAGAGTCTGAGACAGAGAGGTCTTCATCACACTCTGGACACAGAGTCTGAGACAGAGAGGTCTTCATCACACTCTGGACACAGAGTCTGAGACAGAGAGGTCTTCATCACACTCTGGACACAGAGTCTGAGACAGAGAGGACTTCATCACACTCTGGACACAGAGTCTGAGACAGAGGTCTTCATCACACTCTGGACACAGAGTCTGAGACAGAGAGGTCTTCATCACACTCTGGACACAGAGTCTGAGACAGAGAGGACTTCATCACACTCTGGACACAGAGTCTGAGACAGAGAGGACTTCATCACACTCTGGACACAAGTCTGAGACAGAGAGGACTTCATCACACTCTGGACACAGAGTCTGAGACAGAGAGGACTTCATCACACTCTGGACACAGAGTCTGAGACAGAGAGGACTTCATCACACTCTGGACACAGAGTCTGAGACAGAGAGGACTTCATCACACTCTGGACACAGAGTCTGAGACAGAGAGGACTTCATCACACTCTGGACACAGAGTCTGAGACAGAGAGGACTTCATCACACTCTGGACACAGAGTCTGAGACAGAGAGGACTTCATCACACTCTGGACACAGAGTCTGAGACAGAGAGGTCTTCATCACACTCTGGACAGAAAGTGTGAGACAGAGAGGACTTCATCACACTCTGGACACAGAGTCTGAGACAGAGAGGACTTCATCACACTCTGGACACAGAGTCTGAGACAGAGAGGTCTTCATCACACTCTGGACAGAAAGTGTGAGACAGAGAGGACTTCATCACACTCTGGACACAGAGTCTGAGACAGAGAGGACTTCATCACACTCTGGACACAGAGTCTGAGACAGAGAGGTCTTCATCACACTCTGGACACAGAGTCTGAGACAGAGAGGACTTCATCACACTCTGGACACAGAGTCTGAGACAGAGAGGACTTCATCACACTCTGGACACAGAGTCTGAGACAGAGAGGTCTTCATCACACTCTGGACACAGAGTGTGAGACAGAGAGGACTTCATCACACTCTGGACACAGAGTCTGAGACAGAGAGGACTTCATCACACTCTGGACACAGAGTCTGAGACAGAGAGGACTTCGTCACACTCTGGACACAGAGTCTGAGACAGAGAGGACTTCGTCACACTCTGGACACAGAGTCTGAGACAGAGAGGACTTCGTCACACTCTGGACACAGAGTCTGAGACACAGAGGTCTTCATCACACTCTGGACACAGAGTCTGAGACACAGAGGTCTTCATCACACTCTGGACACAGAGTCTGAGACAGAGAGGACTTCATCACACTCTGGGCACAGAGTCTGAGACAGAGAGGACTTCATCACACTCTGGACACAGAGTCTGAGACAGAGAGGTCTTCATCACACTCTGGACAGAAAGTGTGAGACAGAGAGGACTTCATCACACTCTGGACACAGAGTCTGAGACAGAGAGGTCTTCATCACACTCTGGACAGAAAGTGTGAGACAGAGAGGACTTCATCACACTCTGGACACAGAGTCTGAGACAGAGAGGACTTCATCGCACTCTGGACACAGAGTCTGAGACAGAGAGGTCTTCATCACACTCTGGACACAGAGTCTGAGACAGAGAGGACTTCGTCACACTCTGGACACAGAGTCTGAGACAGAGAGGACTTCATCACACTCTGGACACAGAGTCTGAGACAGAGAGGTCTTCATCACACTCTGGACACAGAGTGTGAGACAGAGAGGACTTCATCACACTCTGGACACAGAGTCTGAGACAGAGAGGACTTCATCACACTCTGGACACAGAGTCTGAGACAGAGAGGACTTCATCACACTCTGGACACAGAGTCTGAGACAGAGAGGACTTCGTCACACTCTGGACACAGAGTCTGAGACAGAGAGGACTTTGTCACACTCTGGACACAGAGTCTGAGACACAGAGGTCTTCATCACACTCTGGACACAGAGTCTGAGACACAGAGGTCTTCATCACACTCTGGACACAGAGTCTGAGACAGAGAGGACTTGATCACACTCTGGACACAGAGTCTGAGACACAGAGGTCTTCATCACACTCTGGACACAGAGTCTGAGACACAGAGGTCTTCATCACACTCTGGACACAGAGTCTGAGACAGAGAGGACCTCATCACACTCTGGGCACAGAGTCTGAGACAGAGAGGACTTCATCACACTCTGGACACAGAGTCTGAGACAGATCTCATAAAGACTCAGAGAAAGTATCAGTTTCAGCTGCTGCCTCCTCAGAAGAGTCTCGTGATGTTGTTGTGACGTGTTGCTGACTCACAGAACACACTTATGGTGCTGCTCAGAGCTGCAGACTTATTGTGTGGAGGTGTTTAACTCCTGGAGAGTAGAAAGGGTTCTATGAGGGCAGTACAGAAACAGTACGGCACAACTGCAAATCTACCAAGACTCTGCTGATCGAGGACAACACTGATCACAGATGCACACACGAGGCCCATGGTTACTGTGGAGGAGCTGCAGACATCCACAGCTCACTTGGAGGAATCTGTACATGGGACAAATATTAGTCCTACACTTCACAGATGTGGTCTTTACAGACAAAGTGTTTACATAAAAACACAAGAAACAAAGACGGACACATCCAACATGTGGAAGAAGGAGCTGTGCTCAGATGAACCATCTGTATCGTCGACGATACCTGCGCACATGTTTTACTAATGATCAATTTACTCGCGAACGGTAAAACGTAGCAACTTACTTTTTTTTCCTCTGTGAAGTTCATATTCAGGGCTGATTTGTCTGTGCGATGCACGGAGGATAAATTACGTTTGTTTGAAAGTCCCTGTCCAATCGGATCTTAGCGGTGACCCGTGAGGTACAAACAGCTGTGAGATACAAACACACAGGGACTGCCAAAGATCGTCAGAGAGTGAGATCTCTCACTCCTCTGTGTGCACTTGTTGTCCCACAGTTGAAACTACAGCTGTGATTGCAAAGGGCTATATGCACCGGGAGGCGTGATGTCATTTCCTGTTAACAAAACACAGCCCGTTCACTTCCTGCCTGTGCTATCCTATGGCTTTTAGGTGAGTTTTAGTGACGTTTTTTAGTAATTAGATTGATACATTCAGCTGAGATTGACCCAAAAGTGTCGCTGTGCTTTCTCTCTGAGGTAGAGCTTTGACTGTGGCCACTTAGAGCGATTTTTAAACTTTATAAACACACAATGACAGCACAATCAAAGAGCACTGCTGTGTCCCAAAAATGCCCAGTATCCTCACAGTTTAATTCCCGTTTGAGCATTATTTGGGAAGTGAGGTGGGGCTTTAGCTAAAACGCGGAAGTGGTGCGTGCATAGAGCCTATTACCGGCTGAAGAGTGCACATTATTGATAAAGACGATAATAAATAAAATGACATTATGTGTACATGATGTATATAAATATATGTATTATATATTTTTTGTCTTAGTTTCTTATGTTTTACGTTTTTTACAGCTGTGATACAGAAGCAACCCCAGCATCACAGACAAACTGCTTCAGGAAGGGCATCAGGAGTACAGCGTTTTTGGCTTTTATAGTGGAATTATGTAAAAAGTATAATAGTCACAGATTCAGTTTTCCATTATCTCCATGACCCAAATAACATTTCTGTGCAGTGTAAAAAGTTCATTGTGTTTTTTCAATTTCCTCAAAAGACTGTTTTATGAACAATTATACACAAAGAAAACCAGGCGAGGAAGGATCCCCAAAATGACCCATGTGTTTAGAGGATTAAGACTAAGTCCTGGGTCTACAGCCTCAGTCCTGGGTCTACAGCCTCAGTCCTGTAGTGATGGGTTCTAGAGCACAGAGAGAGCCACGACAGCTGCTTCTACATCAGGCAGTGATGGGTTCTAGAGCACAGAGAGAGCCACGACAGCTGCTTCTACATCAGGCAGTGATGGGTTCTAGAGCACAGAGAGAGCCACGACAGCTGCTTCTACATCAGGCAGTGATGGGTTCTAGAGCACAGAGAGAGCCACGACAGCTGCTTCTACATCAGGCAGTGATGGGTTCTAGAGGACAGAGAGCCACGACAGCTGCTTCTACATCAGGCAGTGATGGGTTCTAGAGCACAGAGAGAGCCACGACAGCTGCTTCTACATCAGGCAGTGATGGGTTCTAGAGGACAGAGAGCCACGACAGCTGCTCGTACATAAGGTAGTCATGGGTTCTATAGCACAGACAGAGCCACGACAGCTGCTTCTACATCAGGCAGTGATGGGTTCTAGAGGACAGAGAGCCACGACAGCTGCTCGTACATAAGGTAGTCATGGGTTCTAGAGCACAGAGAGAGCCACGACAGCTGCTTCTACATCAGGCAGTGATGGGTTCTAGAGGACAGAGAGCCACGACAGCTGCTCGTACATCAGGCAGTGATGGGTTCTAGAGCACAGAGAGCCACGACAGCTGCTTGTACATAAGGTAGTCATGGGTTCTAGAGCACAGACAGAGCCACAACAGCTGCTCGTACATCAGGCAGTGATGGGTTCTAGAGCACAGAGAGAGCCACGACAGCTGCTTCTACATCAGGCAGTGATGGGTTCTAGAGGACAGAGAGCCACGACAGCTGCTCGTACATAAGGTAGTCATGGGTTCTAGAGCACAGACAGAGCCACAACAGCTGCTCGTACATCAGGCAGTGATGGGTTCTAGAGCACAGAGAGCCAGGACAGCTGCTCGTACATCAGGCAGTGATGGGTTCTAGAGCACAGAGAGAGCCACGACAGGGTTCTGAATGGACAGCGAAGTATGAACCTACACAGGCTGTTGTAAGAGACAGTCAGAGGCTGGAGAACAGAGTTTTGATAAATTATATCACAGTCGTCAAGAATGGGAGAATCAGTTGTGAAATGATCCTCTTCCTTACTGATCAACTAAAAGTTAATCGATTTTTAAAGTAATTTTAAACAATAAGAAATTTTGCTTGTAATTGTTTGTATATGAATATTAAATGACAGAGAAGGATCGAGCCATACTACAACTGGAACTGGAGTCATGTCTGAAAACACAAGATTAATTTGATTTGTGGAAACAGGACACAC